TAAAGAATCAAATAACTGCAGTTTACAGTCTCGGTTCTTTAAAAATGTTTTCAATTCTTTTGGCCTCACATGAACATAGTTTATTTGTTAGAAAGTTATAATCTATGGGACAGGCATCAATAGCAGAAAAAGGAATAATGAAATGTTGGCTCCTTAGTGGTTCAAGAGGAAATTACTTAAGCAAATAGTTGAAATGCTGATTTAAAAAAAACAGTCTGTAAATAGTTGCCATAATATTTGTTTTTAATATAAAAGAAATTTAATTTCTTGTCAGACAATGAATTGTGGAGATTCTTACTTTAGAAACTGTTGTTCCTGGATCCTGCAAACATTTATACCTGTACTTTACCTTACTCAAGTGAGTAAAGCTAAGCATGTGTGAATGTGTTTTCAGGATTGGTACCCAATTACACAATTTTTCTGATGTTTTCTAGAACGTAGGAGATTATGATTTTTTGTGAATCCTTATTATTTTCTTGTATAAAGTTAAATTTAAGGAAACCAATATTTTTGACTGTTTAGGACAGCTGTTTCCTACCTCATCTGTCAATTTAGGATTTTTTCTTTTGTATACTCCTTCATATACATATACGTTTCACAGTAATTACACTATACGCTAGTTTGTAAATGGAATTTTCAGTAGAATGATACTGTCTGAAAACTATTATTGTTTACTGTGTAACTTTTTTGTGTATTTATGAATTTTTTTACTATGTTTTAATTTAGATTATGTGGATAAGCCCCTGGAAAAGCCCTTGAAACTAGTGCTTAAAGTTGGAGGAAGTGAGGTCACTGAACTCTCAGGATCAGGGCACGATTCAAGTTATTACGATGACAGGTCAGACCATGAGCGAGAGCGACACAAAGAAAAGAAGAAGAAAAAGAAAAAGAAGTCTGAGAAAGAAAAAGAAAAACATCTTGATGACGAAGAGAGAAGGAAGAGAAAGGTAAACAATGACTCGAGAATGCAGGGGTACAAATTCTTTTCACGTTTGCTTGTCATATCTGAAAAGTGTCTCTTACATGAAAATGCACATTTCAGTTTAAGATACAGTTGACTGAGAGGAATAACTAAAACATAACAGTATTATTTCTTCCTTTCCACCACTTCTAATCCAATGAGGGTCCTTTTTGTATATTTTCATCTCGCTCTTAAAAACAAACAAACAAACAAAAAACCCTTTTTTTGTGTGTTGTCCAAATTTCTTAAACAAAAGTGAGGGCTGTATTTCACCAAATTAATTGCATTTAGAAGTTGGAGTAGAACTAAATTTTATAATCCCTCAATCTCTAATTATGCAAATGCTTATGCATACGTTTTTAAATTTACTCCTATGAGTAGCCCCATTGAAGTCCTCTACAACTGGTGTAACTATTTTTCAGTTTCTTCACTTGCCATAGTCATCTATGCCTTTGTCACCTCCATGTCGGATGAGTTAACATGTTGTATGTGGGACTATCTCTAAAGACCACTTCAGTTGGTGCAGAATAAGACTACCCTCTTGTTTAGCACAATGTTGTGCAGGATATGTGTTACACCACTGTTTCAGATACTGCATGGTCTCCCTGTTAACATTTGAGGGCAGTTCAAGATGTTTATTGATCTACAAAGCCCTATACGTGGGCTTGGCAGAATTCAATATGTTGTATAGTTTTGACAGATATCAATGTTTATTTTTTCACCATTTTTTCAATTTTTATCCATTTAAATTTTCATACTTATAGGAAATTATGGGAGGAGTCACACAATAACTATTTAATGACAGTAGACATTGAGATTCAGAAAGTTAAAACTTTATAAACTGTTAAAACATGAAGAGCAAGGAGTATTTGTGGCACCTTAGAGACTAACAGATTTATTTGGGCATAAATTTTCGTGGGCTAAAACCCAAGATGAAGTGGATTTTAGCCCACAAAAGCTTATGCCCAAATAAATTTGTTAGTCTCTAAGGTGCCACAAGTACTCCTCATTCTTTTTGCTGATACAGACTAACACGGCTACCACTCTGAAACCTGCTAAAACATAAATTGTCAACATCACATGTCAAAATATACAAAGTAAATATTATTAGAGTTTAAGTCCTCAAGCTGCATATTTTTTTCTTTGTGTGCAAATTTCAATTATTTTTATGGACTTTTTTTGTTGGTTTGTTTGTCTATGATGAAATCAACATTTACAAATATTTACCGATTAAAAATCTCATCCTTCCAAGCCTACCTGTGTGGTTTGGCTCCTAGTGACTGCTGTTCTCCCTGTTCTTAGCCAAAATATGTGATGTGGTCAGCTAACAGTCCTTAGATTTAATTACCCTTCCAGAGGCTCCCAGTATCTTAATGTTCCCTGAGACAACAGGAAGGGTGTGTTCTTATAACTTGTGAAACGTCTGTGTGCTCCTCACATATATGGAAGGTATTCATAGGATAATTTGCAGAACAATGTAATAAATGATTTTATTATAAATCTTTTACTGTATTATCCACTAATCAGTCTTCATGACGGCTTGTCTACAATTGAAAATGTTGCATTTTTAAAATCTGATATGTTACATCTCATTGGAGTTAAAAACAGGTGCTTTATTACATTGAGAAGGGGAGAGTCCCAGCTTCTGAACTGAACCCAGCATGTGATTCTTGTCTTGGAAGTTCCTGACATGTCAGACTTCAAAACTAACACCCTTAGATATAGAAAATCTATTTTAGATAGTAATTAAAGGCTTCTGTGGCTCCCTTTGAGACCTGCACAGATACCCTTGATAACTTAGCCGCTTGGCTTTACCAAAAGGAGAGGGATTTAAAAAAAAAAGTATAACATTTTGTAAAATGCCTTAAAGCATTCCTAAAATAGCTCTTTTATAATATACATAAAGTCCATGGTTTGGTGTGATATAAAGATTTTATTGGCCCTCATTTGCAATAACCTGCATTTCCCACTTGTTTCTTTGCTAGTTGTAAATAATGTGGCTTTCCCAGACTTGTGCTACTGAAAGCTGTATTATGTTATACAAGATGAGACTGACCTGTATTCCATAAACAGGTGTGAAGTTAGTGACATCTGTAGTTAAGTATTGTCTAAGCATTCTTCTTTTATTTGCTAAAATCTTTTTGAATCTTTCACCTTTCAGTTCTATTCTCCTTAGATTCTTATAGGGCCTTCATCCCTGTAGTATCTACACCTTCCAGTAGTGCATTAGGCAAGGGTGACTTGAATTATCTTCAACGTTTGTTTTCTGCCTAAGAGTGAATTTTTCTGGAAAGTTTGATCTGATCAAAAATGGGTCAGAAATTCTTGAGAACGAGGCACTGGAAAAAATGGTTTCTGTTGTGGAAACATTTTTGCAATGTATTTTTGAACATCTCTATTACTACTAATTACCTGGGACTAAAAAACTGAAATTGGACAGAATAACAGACATTAGGGAAGAAAAGTGTGTTGCTGTGTCCTATGATGATTTTTATTTTACTTTTCTAAGTCACGATTTTCAAACCTTCATAACTAGCAGATGTGCAGTAGTCTAAAATTATAGAACCTTTTAACAGTGATGTATCCAAATGTTGTAAATGACAGAGGGCTGCTCTGAGTGTGCATCAGTAAGCACTGTAGTAAAAAATGGAGTGAGGCCGCCTAATTCAATACAAGATTGTTCACGTGCTATGGAGGCTTACAGGAGAAGATCTGTCAAATATCGCCAATCTTGCAAAGCATTTGTAGTTGCTCTACTGTGGAGTTTGAGTTTCAGTGTACTTACTGCACCATACTGTAAATGTGCAGTGAACAAGCCAAAGCTACGTGCTTCTTACTTCATTCATAGTAACTATAAGATGAAGCATCACAGCTGACCAGTTAGGACTTACAGAACTTTACAGTTAACTGGGCTCTTTCATTGTGCAATTATTTGTATACATTTTAATGCCATTTTTTCAGCAGAAGCATAGCAACTATCAACCAAAAAAAGTAGCTGAATAGATACAGAAATGGAAATGATTTACAAACAGTTATTGTAAGTAACAGAAATCATTTTAAAGAAAGTATGTATAAGGTTGTGCTTTAAACCATAATTGTCCATCTTACAGTTCAGCACTAGGAGTCTGTTTTCTTCCCCCCCCCCCCCCAGGGATTTGAAGAAAGTGTATATTTGTCTTTAAATTTCTTGACTTTCATTGGTGTCACTTGGATACTTAGTATTATTTTAATAAAAGGTTTTTGTATGAGAATATTTTATTTGAACTTGAACTGCCCTTTGTGAATATCTTCTTTTAACTATCTCCTATCCTTGCTATATTAGGAAGAAAAGAAGAGAAAGAGGGAGAAAGAGCAGTGTGACACTGAGGGAGAAACGGATGACTTTGATCCTGGGAAAAAAGTGGAAGTTGAGCCACCTCCAGATCGCCCAGTCAGAGCTTGCAGAACTCAGCCAGGTAAGTGACCAAGACTAGATGGGAAACCTGGAAAATTTAAATTTCCTAATACGTTCTTTAAAATTGTTCATAACTGAGTGTTAAAATAATACTTCTGATAATATACCAGGGTATTAAGCTTTCAAGCAGAATATAGCGATTTCTGGTGAAATCCCTGGATTTCAGCGGACCTTTCCAGGTTGGAAAGATACTGCATGAAAAGCAGTTATTCCTCTTACCACCTTTGGGGCTTGATGGGTACATTCCCAGGTGCCAGTTAGAAGTAAATTTTCAGTTAGTTCTTCACAAGTTCACATCAGAGTGCATTTGCCTGTTTGAAATATAAAAAGGATATTTAAGTGTCATTCCAGTATTTCTGTTTGCAGTATGTGCACCAGAATAAGGTGATCTGCAGCTACATGTAATTATTTTGATTGAACATATAAAGGACACCTGTGCATTTCTCTAACTTCCTGACATGACATTAAAATATAACCTACAATAATAAAATGCAAAAACGAGCAAAAGAGCCAGAGATTCCACACCAAAGCAGTGATTCAGCAGAAAACATAACAAAATGCCAGTCCATAAGCTTTCCCCAAGTTTCTCTTCCACCTCTACACCATACCCTTCCCTCAATGTCTTGTACAAAAATTGGTCTTTGCAGTATGCCCTAAGTGTCAGAAAATTCACACTATTTTGGACCAGTACAGGAGCAAATCCACAGGCAAGGGAGAATGCCTCGCCAGCAGCAAGCTTTCTTTTCTAAATTGTCAAACTTCAGCTCAAGCACCTACCTGATATTACTTATGGCAGGCTCTCAAATACACAGGTCCTAAGTCATTATGTTGTTAATTTTGGCTTATAAAACCTTAAAACCTTTTCAGGTGCCAACAGGCAGCTAGTGCATGTACCTGTAATGCGTGTGTTTATCCCGTCTCACTATACAAATTTAATCAGATCCTGGAGCCAATGCTCAATATTAAATTTAGATAATTTTTATAAGCCATTCTTTTTTTAATTCCTTCAGACTTCTAAATTCTTTGAAATCCTTTACTAACAAAAATGTTCAGGACAAAGGAATCTCACTCCTGAGTGCCATGTTAACTTTGCTTAGGCTGCTTCCTTGAAAGATACCTCAGTAAATGTCTAGCAGAAATCTGGACTTGTATGAAAATTAGCAGGCTTCATTTCAATCTTCATAAGATTAGAATGCTGCTTGTTGACAGGGCAAACCAAAGATGGGAACTATACTTATCAACTGAGCAAATCAATCTTGAGGAATTTGCAGGTTATGGGTGCTCCCTAAATGGAGGGTGTGAGCCCACTGTCAGAATGAGCCATAATCCTACAGGTCATTCACATTTACTGCCTCTGAACACACTGGGGCATTGAAAGCCTGGCAAATTTGAAACCGATGACTGTGAAATGTGTCCTGTGGGCTGCTCTTTTTCACCTATCTAGAGATGTGGCTTCCCCAAACATTTCACTTGTCCTTCCTGTTCTGGTTGAGGAAAGGGGAAGAGGGTCTCTGTTATCAGGTGAGAAGTGGGCCTTAATCTGCTTTCCAGGAGATGTCAGAATATTGCCTGTTTAATTCTTGCAACTGCTAAATCTGTGCACTCTCCTTGAAGTGCACAACCGTTAAGGGATCAGTGTGCACTTCATAGATTCGTCTGTACAGTAATTAATTCTTTGTTCTTTGTCTTTATTTTTTAAAAATTAACCCAAAACTAATGCAAAATTTTTTGTAAATGGAACACTAAGGTTGCACTGATAAAATGAAGTCAGGAAATGGAGAAATCAGCACTTCTGCAGCAATATCTGCACAGTCAGCGGTCACATAGGAGATCATTTTCTTGTTAAACAGATGCCTGAATATATTACTCCTTGTTAAATACTGGCCATAAAATAGGCAGGTTGTGTGTCATGGACGATTATGTTGCTGTAAGCACCATAGTGTATATATTTCTTTTACTTCTATGCTGCATGAACATTTCTCATTTAATATAATTAAATAACTAACATATAAGGAAATAAAGCTTTATTGCATATCAGGAATAGATTTATTGTATGTGCTTTTGCTGCCTTTGAAATGCAAGGCTTATTGGCTTCTGGAGCGAGTTCGAGCCGCAGGCTATGCAATAAAGACTGTTAGGTACACCTCTACCCCGATATAACACAAATTCGGATATAACGCGGTAAAACACTGCTTGGGGGGGGGCGGCGCTGCGCACTCCGGCGGATCAAAGCAAGTTTGATATAACGCGGTTTCACCTATAACGCAGTAAGATATTTTTGGCTCCCGAGGACAGCGTTATATTGGGGTAGAGGTGTATAAAACGTGAACTTTGGTCTGAAGTAAATACTGTCATTTGACTGAACTTTATAAATATTTTTCACTCTCTCAAATTGCAGCTGAAAATGAGAGCACACCCATCCAACAATTATTAGAGCATTTCCTTCGCCAGTTGCAAAGGTAGGTCTGCATATTATATAGACAGCTGTGTAGATGGTAACTGATGCTTATTAACATGCTGCTTTAGAACCTTCTAATTTGGTCTTCATTTTGGGATGAATCATTTCAGACTGATTTATAATTTGGTTTACCACCATTGCTACCTTATTGGACCCAGTAAGAGAAACTATTCAAGATTAATTGCATTTAGAAAAGTAGGAACTAAAAGTTTCCGCTATCATTAGTAATTTGATTTTTGCTCTAGGGCACTTTAGTACATTAATTACTTATTTTAGGGATTGGAAACCAACTGCAAACTTTTGATCCATAAAATGGAATAATCTCTGGTAAAATCTTATGATTTATTCTCTGTCTGATTCAAATAAAAGTTCATAATTAATTAGCTGGTAACTCACTGGTTGGGAGAGGTTTTTTCATTTTATAATTTTTTGTAAGATATCAGCTGCGTATAGTCCAAGTCTTTGAAAAATCACTAGTAGAACCTATTTTTTCTCCCTTTGTAAAAAAACAAAAAACAAAAAAACTATAAACTTAATTTGAGACTATTAATCAGCTATTCTAAAACTAGTTAATCAGGAACACCACTCTTAATTAACTGCTTTAGTAAAAAAGAAGAAAAATACTAATCAAAAAGATGAAAACAAGAGTTAATACTGCAAGGTATTGAGTGACCACAATTTCTACTGATCTTTTGTTGTTTAAGGGAAACTAATACAGATTTAAATGCAAAATGTATACCAGTAAATAAATAAACAATTAATTTCAAGCACTGACTTATAAATAAAAATTAGGGCTGTCAAGCGATTAAAAAAATTAATTACGATTAATCACACTGTTAATAATAGAATATCATTTATTTAAATAGTTTTGGATAATTTCTACATTTTCAAATACATTGATTTCAATTACAACACTGAATACAAAGTGTACTGTGCTCACTTTATATTTATTTTTGAATACAAATATTTGCACTGTAAAAAAAAATCATATTTTTCAATTCACCTCATACAAGTACTGTAGTGCAATCTCTTTATCATGATAGTTGAACTTACAAATGTAGAATTATGTACAAAAAGACTGCATTCAGAAACAAAACCATGTAAAACTTTAGAGCCTACAAATTCACTTAGTCCTACTTCTTGTTCAGCCAACTGCTAAGAGAAACGAGTTTGTTTACATTTACGGGAGATAATGCCCGCTTCTTATTTACAATGTCACCTGAAAGTGAGAACAGGCATTCGCATGGGACTATTGTAGCCGTCGTTGCAAGATATTTATGTGCCAGATGCACTAAAGATTCATATGTCCCTTCATGCTTCAACCACCATTCCAGAGGACATGCGTCCATGCTGATAACGTGTTCTACTGGATAACCATCCAGAGCAGTGTGGACCGACGCATGTTCATTTTCATCATCTCAGTCTGATGCCGCCAGCAGAAAGGTTGATTTTCTCTTTTGGTGGTTCGGGTTCTGTAGTTTCCGCATTGGAGTGTTGCTCTTTTAAGACTTCTGAAAGCATGCTCCACGCCCCGATCAGATTTTGGAAGGCATTTCAGATTCTAAAACCTTGGGTCGAGTGCTGTAGCTATCTTTAGAAATCTCACTTTGGTACCTTCTTTGCGTTTTGTCAAATCTGCAGTGAAAGTGTTCTTAAAACGAACATGTGCTGGGTCATCATCTGAGACTGCTATAACATGAAATATATGGCAGAATGTGGGTAAAACAGAATAGGAGACATACAATTCTCCTCCAAGGAGTTCAGTCACAAATTTAATTAATGCATTATTTTTTTAACAAGCATCATCAGCATGGAAGCATGTCCTCTGGAATGGTGGCCGAAGAATGAAGGAGAGTACGAATGTTTAGCATAACTGGCACATAAATACCTTGCAATGCCGGCTACAAAAGTGCCATGCGAACGCCTGTTCTCACTTTCAGGTGACCTTCTAAATTAGAAGCGGGCAGCATTATCTCCTGTAAATGTAAATAAGCTCGTTTCTCTTAGTGATTGGCTGAACAAGAAGTTGGACTAAGTGGACTTGTAGGCTTTAAAGTTTTACAAGACGTTGGTTTTGAGTGCAGTTATGTAACAAATAAAAATCTACATTTGTAAGTTGCACTTACACGATAAAGAGATTGCACCACAGTACTTTTATGAGGTGAATTGCAAAATACTATTTATTTTGTTTGCCATTTTTACAGTGCAAATATGTGTAATCAAAAATAATATAAAGTGAGCACTGTCAACTTTGTATACTCTGTTGTAATTGAAATAATATATTTAAAAATGTAGAAAAACATCCAAAAATATTTAATACATTTCAATTGGTACTCTATTGTTTAACAGTGCGATTAAAACTGTGATTAATTGCTATACATTTTTTTTAATTGTGATTAATTTTTTTATCGCTTGAGTTAACTGCAATTAATCGACAGCCTTAATAAAAATATTCCCACACAGACTAAATATTCTTAAATCAAGTCAAAACTCTCTCTCCCATATCAGCAGATAGTTTTTTTTTTTTTTTTTTTTTAAAGCGACAACTGGTGTTGATGACATAAAATGGTATGTTATAAGGAGTAATGATCATTTTGTTTCCTAGCATAATTATACATATTTTTATTCCATTTTTAGGAAAGATCCTCATGGGTTTTTTGCTTTTCCAGTCACGGATGCCATTGCTCCTGGATATTCCATGATAATAAAACATCCCATGGATTTTGGCACTATGAAGGACAAAATAGCAGCAAATGAGTACAAATCAGTCACCGAATTCAAGGTGAAGTGATAAGGATATGGTTATTTCAAAACATTTTCAATAAAAAACTTTAATTTGAGTCAGATTTTTAAGTGAAATTAGTTCGTCAGTCAGGCTTCTAACATGTAATTTACTTATAAATAATTAATCACACTTTTACATTCTGTTAGTAGGAGTGGGATTATACTCTATACTCTGTATATATCTGTCACGCTGTCCTAGGGCAACTGCTAAGATTATTGCAGAGGAAGAATGTGTACTACTGATAAGTTTACTGTGGTATGCAATTCAGTGCTACAAGGAGATAACATTCAGAAAAACAGGTTGAGAAGAACTTTGTTTTAGAGAACTCTAGATGATTTGTTTAAATCTAGATTAGTTCATTAATGACCAAAAGGTGATGGTGCCCTTTGGAGACACTTTGACTTATGTTAAATGATTGTGATGTTCTATGACATAAATGAAATACGTGCTGTATGTGGAAATTTCAGCTCCGCTTTAACTAGAGAGCTGCTATTAGCATCTCCATAATTCTTTGGCAGATACTTTGTATAAGGGCAGGTCTACACTAGAAGCGCTACATCGGTGTAGCTGTGCCACTATAGCGTGTCTGGTGAAGACGCTCTATGCCGACGGGAGAGCGCTCTCCTGTTGGCATAATTACTCCACCTCTGCAAGAGGCAGAAGCTATGTTGGGGGAGAGCATCTCCTGCCAACACAGCGCCAGTGTGGACAGTGCTTAGGGTGCTGTAACTTGCATTGCTCAGGGGGCTGGCTTTTATTTATTTATTTTTTTTAAGTTAGATCGATTTAAGCAGTAGTGTAGACCTGCCCTCTGATAAAGAATAATTCTAATTTTAGTTTGTATTATCTTTTTGTACAGTTAGTGTTTCATTCTTTGATTATTGCCTTTTCCAAGTGATTTACAGTTTGAAATTGCTGGCTAGCATTGGACCAGTTTCTTGGTTATTGATGACTTGTTTTAGGGGATTTGAAGAAATGGCCTGTTTCATTCCCATTGGGTGTATTTTGGTTCTAGTTACCAGGAACTACATTGGTGGTATTGCTTGCTCCACTGGTGATGGATGAAAACAAGATGTTCATAGTGATTCTTTTAGATCCATCAGCTGCCTTGAATATCATTGTTCATAAGGTGGTATTGATGCATCTTTAGAACTTAATAGAGGTTGGCGGTGTTGCTGTTGAGTGGTTCTGTTCCTTTCTTTGAGAGGTCCCACAGGGTGGTATTGGGCAAACAATTACTTGTCTTTCCCAAAGGTGCTCTCATTCGGGATTGTGCAATTATTCTCTCTTGCTCAGTGAAGTATGAGGCCATTACGGGAGTTGGTAAGAAAGGTCTGGGTTGCAGTCTTTTCAGTGTACTAACACTCACCTTTTGTTTCTGTCTCTTCAACTCTACTGGTTCATTGGAGTGAGCTATTCAGCATCTTAACAGCAAGGAGTGGGTGAGAGTTGGAAGGCTGAGTTTCAACACAGGCAAGACTGAGATAGTGATTGTAAGCAGAGGAGAAGCCACCCCAGAAATTATGACAATTATATCATCACCCCCTATTAGCAGGATTGTCTGTCATTTGTTTCCAAAGTCTTCACCTGGGTTTCTTTTTGTAGCTCCAGTTTCTACTGAATACTCTGGGAGTAGAGGTTGCCAAGTGTCTCATCTCCTGTACTCAACAAAGAGTTTGCATCCTTTTCTTTCAGATGTGGGTTTCATCATTGTGGTTCATACTTTGTCATCTCAGGTTACTGGTTGCAGGACATTCTATATTTCTTATGGGCATAGTCCCACATTGAAATTGTAGCTGGTGCAAAATGTGATGGTTCCCTTATTAAGTGTACAGGAAGCACATTACACCAGTATTCCATTATAAGCCCTGACTGGTATTTTGATTTTGAGATGAAGTTTGAGCTGTTGGGTTTTACCTATAAAGCCATAAATGTTCATTCTAGTTCTGTTTACAGGAGTGAACTCTTAACTGCTGCTACAGCAGTTATGATTATCTGAGGTACTTGACCTGAATAAATATTTCCGTGTAAGAGAAGAGTCATTCAGAAACATACACTTCAACTAAGGAAAGAGATTGGGTGAGGGGAGCCTGCGATAGCTTTGCTGCCAAGGAGTGAAGCTTATTCCAAGGCCAGTAGCTTAGGAAAAGACTTTTGTCCTCCCCAAACAGCTCTTCAGGAGTCATGTGGCATAGAGCCCAGAGTCCCTACCTTGTTTGCTCCTTCACTCATGTGCCCTTGTTCACAATCCCCCATTTCTGTCCCTCAAGTTGTCTCTTTAATCAAAGAGGCTAGAGGCAAATCACTTAACCTCAAGTAGTCACAGCAGCTGTGACTGTGCCCCTCTGCTTCTTTAGCATTGTATTGATGGCTTCTGCCCTAGGTATCAAAGCAGCACTTTCCCAATCCCTGCTTTGAACCAGGAAATTTAAGAAAAAAAAGATTTATTCTAATTTAAATAGTTTCTTCTGAGATCAGAATCTGGTTAGAAGTTTAGGTCCAGATTTTCAAAGGTCTTTAGGCACTTAAAGATGTAGTTAGGCACTTAATGGGATTTTCAAAAGCACCTAAGTGCCTAACTCCAATGATAGGCACCTAGGAGCTTTTTAAAATCCCATTAGGCTCCAATCTGCATTTTAAAATGCCTAAACACCTTTGAAAATCTGGCCCTGAGTCTATAAACTCCAAAGGCTTGTTTTTCAAAAAGGCACATAATTCCCTGCACAAAAGTGCAACCACAGATAGGGTATGTTCATGCACAAATGACCAAGAAATTATGATTTGCATGAGTAGCTACCTGATTTGTGTGCAGAGAATCATTCAGATCTAGTTGTTTGAACAGCCACCCTTTCAATATTTAAAGTGTTAGTGGGAGTTACAGCCACCTTTGGGAACTAGTGCTGTCAAGCTAGCTCTAATTTAACATGCCCTAATCTAATTTAATGAGGGCCAAGGGACTTGAGTGTTCGCTTTGATTCTTGCTTTGCAATTTTCTGAAACTTCCATAACCATTTCAAGTCTACAGAAGAATTTTTTTAACTATTCATGGATCTCATGTAAAACTGCTAATATTACTTTCCATTGGGTTATTGTGAGACAATAATAATGAATATTGTTCTTTTTTAATGTGCATGGAAAGGAATTGCACACTTAAAAGGCTTATCCAGTTTACATCAGAATTATACCTCTGTTACTGATCCCTTTAGAGAAGTCCAGACGTGAGAAGTAGCAGATTTTAAAGGTGACATGGAAAGCAAAAGAAGAAAAAATGTGTTTATGCCTTTTCTACTTTTTTATTTTTATGTTTAAAGGATGTCTGAAAGGTAGTTTCAAAAATGTTTTTACTTTAGAAATTCTGTTCTTTTGTACCCTGTTTCTCTTGAAAGACACTATAGAACTGTAATAGTAACATCAGAGATGTCATGCAATTAAACCAGATTAAGAGAACTGATTTTTATTCAGGCTGTTTTAAAATTCCTTGTCCTATGCTTTTGTTTACATCATTTTAATTTAAATTGGAATAAATGATTGGGAGGGGGAAAATGTCTTGAAGATTGTGACCCAAAAACCTTCAGTTAAGGAGCGAGGGAGCTCACAATACAGATCTGTGACTACTTCATCCCCCCAGTGAGCCCTCCTGGAAAATCAAGAAAAACCTGACTTTATATTCCAGCTACTTCTGAGTTTAAAAAACGAACAAGGAAAAAGTTGTGTGTGCATAAAATAAATAAATAAAATTTAACCTTTCAGGACTTCACTGAACATCATAAGGAAGCAAAAAAGGCGCAACCCTTTGCAAGTCACTTTTACACTTTTGACTCATATTCACTTAATGTCTTTGGACACTTCTTGGTGTTCTCAAAATGTCTTTGCATTGAATGCGTCTTAATGTGGCTGTCTTCACAGGATGTTATCTGGAGCTCTTTTTTATGTTCAGTTATTGAAGGAGATATGAAGTTTTAGCAACTCTTGTGTTTTGTATTTTTCAGGCAGATTTTAAACTGATGTGTGATAATGCAATGACGTACAACAGACCAGATACTGTTTACTACAAGCTAGCCAAGAAGATACTCCACACAGGCTTTAAGATGATGAGCAAAGTAAGAGATCTATTAAAAACAAAAAGCAGAAAAGATTTGTTAAACTGACAAGTACTATAATCAGTCATAGTGATAAACATTATTTCATCCATCTGTCATTAATTATAGCAGTGCCCACCCGTGCTGCTATATTTAAGGACTTGTCGGCATTTCCATTATAAACCCCCTTTCTCTTAAGTCCTGATTATGCACCATTGAAATCAGCGGGAGCTTTGCCACTAACTTTAATGGGAGCAGAAACAGGGCCTAAATCTATATAACCCAACTATAAAAATTTGTTTCAGACTGAAACTTTGGACACAAGGTTTCACTCCAGAAACAAATTTCATTTACCCTATCGATTTTAAATGAGCTGAGCTCTTTTAAAAAGTTTTATGACTGTAAAAAGATTTGAGGGATTTTCCCCTTGTCTGTTACTGTAGAATAGTTGTTAATGTGGACTAGTGTTTATAGGCTACCTTGCATGTGTGTTGCAGTTCAGTTATGGTAAGTCTATATGTAAAATAGGCAGCTGTATCTACTTGTGTAGTTCTTACTTTTTCTTGAAAGTCGGGCTGCAGAAATTCTGGTGCCATGCTACCATGACCAAATCATGTTGCATCACCATTGGAAGTTAGACAATAGGAGCAAAATAAGGCCATGGCCATTCCCATCCCATCCCATTATCATAGCATCTTGGCTATGAGGGAAAGGTAAAGTCCCTGCCGCTCTGTCCTTTCTGATTCTAGGAACGGCTGTTAGCTTTGAAGCGCAGCATGTCGTTTATGCAGGACATGGATTTTTCTCAGCAGGCAGCTCTTTTGGGTGATGAAGACACAGCTGTTGAGGAACCTGTTCCTGAAGTCGTTCCTGTACAAGTAGAGACTGCCAAGAAATCCAAAAAGCCAAGTAAAGAAGTTATTAGGTAAAGGTCTTAATGGAAATGCATACTGCTTTGTGGCAGCTATTGTACTCTCGATCAATGCAGCAGGCCAGGCTTGGGTAAGGAGTAGGGAGCAACTCTTTGCAGTTTTGTGTTTGATACTTTAAGTAATACAATGTTAACATGAAATTTGCTCATGCAGTAGTTTCACATGTTGATGATTCCAAATCTATAACCACATTGCTTCTAAGGCTGAATATACCTCCCTCTACAAACTAACCTGTCTTGACTGTTGATGAATAGATAAATATTTTCTCCTCCTCTTTTACGTGGTCTAAAATTAAGATCTGACTTTATTTTAATGATGGCTTAAAGCCTCTTTCACCTCCAAGTGTCTGTCACCTTTTCTCATCACATTTCCCAAAAGTTCTTGAAGTTGCAGAAATAGTTCCTGTGAGTAATGTCAAGCCTGCTGAGAAATTATGAACTTCAAGTTGTAAAGACTGACTATTTTGACACCAAAGTTATGAAATAGATGTTGCAAAAAAAAAGTCCAAAATTAGTAAATAGTACAGGTTTTTTTTTTTTTTAAACTGAAGGTTTGTGTATCAGGATGCAAATCCTTTAAACATGTTTTATGTTTCCCCTCTTGTTGTTTATAAGGGTCTTTTTATCAAAGGAAACAGTAAAACTAGCAATTTTGTCAAATGAACAGAGTAAACACACTTGGAAAAAATAGTAAACTTTTTTGCAAACATTTTTCAGTTAAGGTAATCTTACTTACTGTAATTAGTAACTATATTTGGTCCAAAATTTCCAGTCAATTATTGCTTTTTTCCAAGCTTATGGTGTCCTTTTTAAATATAAAAAAATGTAGAATATAATCTGCCACTGAGATTTTTGGAACAGCCCTGGTGATTGACAGCTCTGCTAATCATCTTTAGTGGCTAATGGAAGAAACAGGAGATTAGTTTAGCAGTTCCGTGTGTGTGCGAGAGAGAGACAGAGGTGTGGGGTTAAAAATAGAACTCTTCAAATGTTTTTGAGTGTTTGCATTGACTGGAATTATTATACAGTAGAACCTTAGAGTTATGAGCACCTGAGTTACGAACTGACCAGTCAACCACACACCTCTTTTGGAACCAGAAGTACGCTATCAGGCAGCAGCCAAGACCAAAAAAAAGGCAAATTCAGTGCTGTACAGTACTGTGTTCAATGTAAATTACTAAAAAATTAAGGGAAAGTTTTAAAAAAAGATTTGACACGGTAAGGAAACAGTTCTGTGCTTGTTTCATTTAAATTAAGGTGGCTAAAAGCAGCATTTTTCTTCTGTATAGTAAAGTAAAGTTAAGTCACTGTTCAGTTGTAAGCTTCTAAAAGAACTGCCATAACATTTTGTTCAGAGTTACGAAAATTTCATAGTTACGAACAACCTCCATTCCAGAGGTGTTTGTATCTCTGAGGTTCTACTGTAGTGGGAGAGAGTTGTTCAACAGTATAAGTGCTAGTGCTTTCATTAATAAAACTGGTTTATTTTTCATGGGTTACTTGATGGAATTGAGGAGAGTAAACTGGAAGTAGGATTCTGTTAATGGGAATACAGACTCAACGTCATTTACATACAAAATAAGGAGGAACACCTTCATTTAGGCTTGTACAATGCCCAGCACAGTAGGGCCCCAATTCTGATTAATCCTTACAGCCCCCATTACCATAGTATCTGAGGACCTCGCAGTCTTTAATGTACTTATTCTCAAAACACAGGCGGTCTGTGGCAGAGCAGGGCATTGAGTCTCCCGGGTCCCAGGCTAATACCTTGTCTACTGAACCATCTTTTCTCTTGGTGCTCTACCAAAGTGTAAACTCAAATAACTGAATTACTGGTCTCTAATTCCATCCAGGAGATCAAATTCTGAAGTGATCTCGGTGTGGTTTGCACCTTCTCCTGGCCCGCTCAATGTTTATATAAGTCCCTTGGGCTTCATTACTTAGCCCTGGTCTACACTAGTGGTGGGGTCGATCTAAACTGGAGTTCCGGAGTCGACGGGGAGCGCATTCGGGGATCGATTTAGCCACGTCTAGCCAAGACACGATAAATCGATCCCCGATAGATCTATCTCTACCCGCCGATCCGGCGGATAGAGAAGTCCTGCCCTTAGATTCACACCCATTTACCAACTTACATCTTGCACAACCTGAAGGGCTTAATTGTGTACCATTATAGCAGGAGTTCTTTTGCAATGGGAGCACAAACAGAACCTAAAGGTACATGTTTGTACATGAGTCATTCATGATAAAAAGGGGGAAAGGGAACCCTTTAGGGTTTTTTCCAGTAGAATGTTGTGAAGTAAAATTTTCAAAAAAAAATTTAAGTTCCATTTTTCAAAAGTAATTTAAGCATTTAGAATCCTAAGTGCCTAAGTCACTTTTGAAAATGTCACCCATGGTCTTTATAACTTATTGATCAAGTTTCCTGAACAGAAGTGTAGAAATTTGACTCCTTCCAATGTTGAGTGTGTCTCGGAGACCTAAGCTTTTAATGTTTTTAAACTATTAGTTAATGGGATATAATATTATCATTAGGGCTATCAAGTGATTAAAAAGATCAATAACGCGATTAAAAAATAATAGAATACTATTTATATAAATATTTTTGGATGGTTTTCCATTTTTTCAAATATATTGATTTCAATTACAACACAGAATACAAAGTGTACTGTGCTCACTTTATATTTATTTTTTGTTAATTGCACTATAAAAATAGATAGTATTTTTCAATTCACTCAATACAAGTACTGTAGCGCAATCTCTTTATCATGAAATTTGAATCTACAAATGTAGAATTATGTACAAAAAAAATAAAACAATGTAAAACTATAGAGCCTTCAACTCCACTCAGTCCTACTTCTCATTCAGCCAACCGCTCAGACAAACAAGTTTGTTTACATTTGCAGGGGATAATGCTGCCCGCTTCTTGTTTACAGTGTCACCTGAAAGTGAGAACAGGCATTTGCATGGCACGGTTGTAGCCAGCATTGCAAGATATTTACGTGCCAGATGCGCTAAAGATTCATATGTCCCTTCATGCTTCAACCACCATTCCAGAGAACATGCGTCCAGGCGGATGATGGGTTCTGCTCGATAGCGATCCAAAGCAGTGCAGATCAACACATGTTCATTTTCATCATCTGAGTTAGATGCCACCGGCAGAAGGTTGATTTGGTTTATGTAGTTTCCATATTGGAGTGTTGCTCTTTTAAGACTTCTGAAAGCATGCTCCACACCCTGTCCCAATCAGATTTTGGAAGGCACTTCAGATTCTTAAACATACTATCTCTATCTTTAGAAATCTCACATTGGTACCTTCTTTACATTTTGTCAAATCTGCAGTGAAAGTGTTCTTAAAACGAACAACATCCTGGGTCATCATCCGAGACAGCTATAACATGAAATATATGGTAGAATGTGGGTAAAACACAGAACAGTAGACATACAGTTCTCCCCAAGGAGTTCAGTCACAGATTTAATTAATGCATTATTGTTATTTTTCTCACTTTCAGGTGACATTGTAAATAATTGGGCAGAATTATCTCCTATAAATGTAAACAAACGTGTTTCTCTTAGCAATTGGCTGAACAAGAAGTAGGACTGAGTGGACTTGTAGGCTCTAAAGTTTTACATTGCTTTGTTTTTGAGTGCAGTTATGTAACACAAAAAAATCTACATTTGTAAGTTGCACTTTCACGATAAAGAGATTGCACTACGGTACTTGTTTGAGGTGAATTGAAAAATCATTTTTACAGTGCAAATATTTGTAATAAAAATAATAGTGAGCACTGTACACTTTGTATTCTGTGTTGTAATTGAAATCAATATATTTGAAAACGTAGAAAAACATCTGAAATATTTAATGAATTTCAATTGGTATTTTATTGTTTAACAATGCGATTAAAACTGCAATTAATTGTGATTAATTTTTTTGAGTTAATTGCATGCGTTAACTGCGATTGACAGCCCTAATTATCAGACAGTCAAGGATATTTTGCTCAAAATGTACCTGTGACCTTTTGCATTTTTCTGTAAATGTGACTTTTGCAATATTTGCTGTTTATACATTCCATCTGAATTTGGGCCACTGGGTTTAAAGGATTCTATACTGATGTAACTTGCATGCTGAGTGATTGGAAGGATCACAGAAGGGAAAAAAGATTGATGTAAGGAAATCGAACAGGGTGGATTTTTAAATCATGATTTAAATCACTAGTCAGACTTGATTTAATCATGGATTTCTACATAAAAGTGCATTCTTGTTGGTTGTTATAACCTTAATACATATTCTTCACAACTCAGAGATAGATGTAGGCTTCATTTTTAGAAGGTACACATACATATTTAAAGTGATTTATTTTGAAAACTTTTCAGATTAGTTTTACAGCTATATCAGAAAATGAATGATTGTTTGGTTATTTCATTTACCAAAGGTAATTGAAGCAGATAGTTCACCTCCCAATGACTTCATAAATATCTCCAATTCAACAGGTTAATCATTAATATTTGGAGGATTTTTTTGCCCTGCTGTATTAAGAGGAGAACATCATCAGACAGACATTTAAATTGTTTTATTTAACTAAAACAACAACGTTATGTATTCTGGATTTTTTTTCTTCAAAAGCAAACATATAATAGTTTAACAATACAAGCATGAGATTTTTTTGAATATAGTTAAACATTCAAGTTTTTTAAATTCAGACTTGTTTTTGTTAAAATTGTTTAAAATAGTTAAATGAAATTATTTTTTTTAAAATAAATCTGCTAAGTCAGCCAGGTCAACATGAGAAATTTAAAATATTGGCTTCTGCAAATAACTCAGTTGTCTTCACCTTCATTTTCCTGTTTGTTCATAATCTGGAAAAGAAAAACAAGCTTTCCTGCTTTTTCAAGTCCCAAACCATTTCTCAATTTGTAATGAATTAGTCCAAAGGAAGAAAATATTCTTTCTACACCGGCAGGAGAAGCTACTGCTGTTAAAAGTGAGATTATCACTTCAACAGTCTCTGAATCCAAGTGCTTATGGGACTTCCACCAGTTCACTGGTCTGACTTTCTTTAAAACATCATCCGCAAACATATATTTCTTGAATGGTTCACTCTTAGCTCTGAAGTTTATTATAGTTGGCATTATGGAGGGATGATTGCTGGATGTCCATGTCATAGCCAACTCCTCTTCTTCAACAGTTATGGTTTGACCTTGGTACCGAGTATTGAGAATATTTGCAAGAAAATGAGCTGGAGATGGTGATTGTCCCATTCGTTTTTTTTAATGCTTGTAATTTAACTCTGTCATTGCATATTTCTCTTTTTAAGATCTCACTCAGTTCCTTCCAAATTTCAACAGCACAGCAATAAAACAGCTATTTCCCTGCATTTTGTTCAAGGCTACAGAAATAGGCTTCAGGGTACTCAGCATGTGTTCAACATTTCTCTTAAGCCCAATGTTGAGAACTTTGGCTGTGACAGTGCCATCTATTTTTTCATGATTTTGTTCACAAACTGTCATCAGATTAGGTCAGCTCTTGCTGTAGTGCTCAAAACAGTCCACTACTGAGTTCCATTGCACGTTTTGTGGGAGAGTTAGCTCCCACCTTTTTCAGAGCAGCTGCTGCAAAGTGGTTGTTACGGAAGTATTTTGCAGTTTCAACAACATTAGCCTTTATTTCTGGAATACTGAAGTCTTTGGCTAGGAGACGCATCAAATGAGCACTGCAACCGTATGTTATTAGCTTGGGACTCTCTTCACTCTCTTCTAAATTTTTCTTCTTATCTTGGATACATTTGCAGCGTTGTCTATGACCAAGCTGCGTACTAGACATTTGAATTTTTTTTCAGTTTGTTACAGCTTTTACTGCTACTTCTGGTAAGTATTCTGCTGCATGTGCATTTCCTGATGTATCAGTTTTCTGTAAGGAAGACATTCCCTTCTTCTGTTGTCACACAAGCACATACAACAGGATCATTGTGGACATTGCTCCACCCATCAAGACTCACGTTAACAATTTCACCCTCTAGACCTTTTGCACACTGCTCAATTTCTTTTTCATGCTCTTTATCCAGCAATTTGCCTGCAACATCTGCTCTGTTGGGTGGACAGTATCCTGGTCTTAATGACTGAACCATGTTAATGAAGTGTGGGCTCTCAATCATATGGAAAGGAGAGTTTGTTGCATACACAAACAGGGCAATTTTTACATCAATTACTACTTTTTGTAATCTGCTGATTCTTATGATAAACTTATCTATTGTTGTTTCTGGATGATGGAGATTTTTTTTTTCTTTTTGCTACAGGTGATAGACTGTGGCTATGTGACATACATGATGTGACTGAAACACTATCATTGGCAGATAACTCTGAAACTATAGAAAATGATGGTGATCTTGAAGGTGGATAGTCTTCAGAATCCTGATTGTTGAGGATTGATTCTCCTAAACAAAATAAGTCAGTGCAGTTATTTAATTACCATACTGCTCATTTAGTATTACTCATTGCATTCACTGACACTCAGTACTACTTTAAAGGTGAAATTGTTAAAGGAAGATCTGCCTATTTCAGCTATTTATTTTTTCTCACAACTGCATCTAAAATGATAGTACCATAGAGTAACTACTATATTTTTTGCTCAAACATGAGAATTCAAGAATAGTCCAGAAGGAAGACAGGCAGTCTTTAAGAAAGAAGTATGAAATAAAAGTTTACCAACCTAAAGATCCTGCATGTTCAGACATGTTCTTTTCATCATCTTCAACGTAGCTTCCTCCTGAGAAGGAACACTTCTCATTATGTTGTTTCATTTAGGCAAACAGAGCTTGCATTTCTTTGTTGCACTATTTTCACTTTGCACACATGCCCTTCTTACCCACAGGTAGAGGAACTTCATTAAAATATTCCCCAAATGGGTCTCTTTTATGGCCTGCTGCCATTATAGGTTTTCCCTTCTGGTGAGAGAATGGTATGGTAGATCTCAAATCAATGAAGGCTATACTCAAAAAGACCTCAAGACTTCTGGAATATGCTGCTCAAACAGTTTCACATTTGTTTATACTGCCTGTCCCTCCCGTCTCACATTTATCTCGACTTCTTCTCTTTGTCCAGATCTATTCCGCCCCCAACAATCTTCTATTCATTGAACTTTTTGAAACTTTGCACATTTAGAAAGAGGTAAGGGATTGACTCTGTGTACACAAATTTGCAGAGGGACAATAGGGTTGAGGTCAGTTATTTCTCACCTCTGTATATTATTTATTTATTTTAAAACATTTTTACTGTTAACAAGCATATTATCTCTGGAGACACAAATCCACAGTTTGAGAGCTGCAAAACTAAGCATCTCTGATGGTATATTCTAGACTGAGCACTGAGTCCCATTGGGTAGACAGAAAGATTACCTAAATAATCTATACAGAAGCCCCTAGAACTCCATAAAATTGGGTCCCTAATACATGAACTATTGGAACTCATTTACAAAACTTTTCTTAAACATTACATGAATATATTGTCTCATACTATAGAATTAAAATTTATAATCCCTATTCCATGATGAGATATCTTTGAGCTATGATGTATCTTTATCTTTAGATAGATTTTTTCCCTCAAAGCATTTTATCAAAAAAATCTGATTTTTTCTTTTCTTTTTTTTTTTTTTTAATTACTGACTTTTATCCATCCTGAAATCTAATTTACACAGCGCCTTACATACCACCTGAGAAATGGCTCATGGTACCCTAGTGACCTCATAATTCATAAGCCTCTTAGACTCAAAATTATTCTTTTAAAATGTATATAATACAGAGATGATGCATTCTCTCTGTTCTTCCACAACATTCCCTTTCTACACTTTTTTTACATTTATATATGAAGTAGCTCAAACTGTCTGTCCTGTTCCATTAATGTATGGTTCGTGGTTCTTCCATTTGTATTTAGCTGCTTGTAGCTATTTTCGTTAAAAGGGTTCAACTGAAAAGTAAACTTTAAAATTCACACTTGTCATCAGAAACAAGAATGTGTTGGATGTTGGTTAATATGAAACATTAGATTGTTTTGAAAATGGGTTTGGTTCCATTTTTATTTGAACAATTTGTACTCTGTTTTAGTTGCATATTTGAACCTGAAGGAAATGCATGCAGTCTAACAGACAGCACTGCTGAAGAACATGTCCTAGCCTTGGTGGAGCATGCAGCAGATGAAGCTCGAGACAGGATCAACAGATATCTACCAAACAGCAAGGTCTACAACATGGTCAAGTCTACCATTTTATATAGTGTCTGACTTGTAAATATTTGTCACATCACAAGAAATAAGTTCTATGGATTCTGCTTACATTTCCGGAGTGCCGTGAAGTCTATGGCAGGTGAAATTCACCTTTTATGGAAGACCAGCAAAAGGACTGTCACTTAAGTCCCATTTAAGCCATTTAATTAGGGTTTCAGTGGCTCTTAAGTGGCATGTAGGTCTCATGTCAGTTCTCTGCGGAACTTCACCAGGAGAAAATAGTCAGGTAGTTAGGTTAGCTGCTTTGGAGTCCTTACCCTTAGAGATGACTGTAACATAGTGGCAGGATTCTCTTGTCTACCACGTTAACAGGTAGCTGGAGGTAAATTAGCGTTAGTATGTATTTGAGGGTTATTAGGAATTCTTTCCCCTTTTGGAGTTCATCTTTACATTTTCCTAACTTCCTACTTCAGGTATAGATCCCAGTGCCCCTCCTCCCCAAACTCTTTTTGGTTCTCCAGTTGCTGACTGCTGCTCACAACACACAACACATTCTTGAGTGACACTACATGAAGAACATACCCTACCATCTGCACCTGGCTGTGTTGATGAACCTGGGGCACTAACAGCAAGCTAAACTGTCTTGAACCTGGCTCCAGAGATTACATCCACCAGTGCTGCTCCTAGGGCAGGAGGGTTCAGTTATAACATAGATGTGGATATGTGGGTATGCTTACAGGCTGCCTAGTTGTCAACTACATCATTTAGGGGGTCTCCTTCATTAGCTGCCACTAAGGCCAACATAAATGCTGAGCCTAGCTTTGTGACTTCGACAAGTTTGCCCAGCCATCGATGATGGGGTAGGTGTGACAAGCTGTTTTTGTGGGGTGGGTGGGGCAGGGGGTGCTCCTCTAGGTTGTACTGAGAGTTGTGTGGGTGCTGTAGGAAATAGCAACTTGGGAAATTTTGAAGACTGCAGGACTCTCTGCTTATATCGGAGTCCTGAGTAGCTCTAGTCCTCCATTGAGGCAGACATTGAGGTTTACAGCAACTGTATAATTTTATCATGTGCAGACTTAACATTGTAGTGAACCTTCAATTTCATTTTCCATTCCACACCCCCAACTCTCATATGTCATAGGATGACAGGAGTTCCTAGAGACTGCTTTAGTTGAAAAGGCCCGGGATGCATGTGCATCCCCCATCCACTGTCCCAGTCCAGCTTGCTCCTCTGCATTTGGTGGTCATTGCGAGGGAAAGGTTTGCTGGAGAGCTTGGATGATGGGCAAAGGGCATAGTTGGTAACTTTAACTTTACTTACTTTCCTGCATCTTATCTCCCTGACTGTTAGGAGGAATTGCAGTAAGCACAGTTGATTCAGCAAGGGGGAAAGAGGAGAGAAGCTATAGTTCCCTACTGGACCTTCTGCTTCATTGTGTCATTAGAAGGGCATGCTGGGAATTGAGGCTCTTTTGGAAGCCTCCAAACAGACCTTTGAAAGCCACATACAGCAGCAGTCCTGTGTGAAACAGCCAGTTGGTAAACTCTTTGAAGAGGGCTAGTTGATGCAGAATGTAACCAGCTCACAAGAAGAGGGGATGAGCATGTGGAGAAGGAGTAAGTTGCTCCATATGTGCAGCTTTTAAGGCCCAGGCTTTAATACAGGCTAGTACAGACCCAGTGGCTGCAGCCAATGCTGGCCCGCCCTCAAACCCTTTCTTGGTGTAAATTGCTGCTCTTTTGTGACATGGAGGTATCATTCTTGTGCATTCCCCCTTCCAAGTGTGCATCACCCATTTCATTATGTGTAATATGGAGTTTAATAAACTATTTAGAAATAATTTTCTTTGTGGCACTTCGTAAGAGAAGTTTCAAGTGCTTTAAGAAAGAAAATCATGAGCTAGAAAGAGAGGGATATTTAATGTGAGATTTAAAGTAATAGCAGCAGGTAAGTTCCAAGTAGAAGAATGAAAGAGCACCCATCCCTCAGATATGGGGAAGAGGCAGGTATTTGGCTTTTTGGATCAAGAGTAGTAATATTTCTGCTTTACTCTGTCATCAGCATGTGGTGGTGTCTCTGCAAATCCTATTTATCAGTTCTCTTCCTGATCATAGCTTGTCTTTAGACAGTCAGACATGTGTGCTCAAGTAGTCCTGGTCCTCTGATTATAGTCTTTTCCCCTAAGGGCTTGATTCAGCACCAATTGAAGTAATTGAAAGTTTGCTGTTTCCTTTAACCAAAGGAGAACTGAAGTCGTAAATTTACGGGGGGTGGGGGGGTAGACTTAGAGACAGAAAGATGAATTAGTTCATGTGATTCCTGTGATTCTGTAGCAGTTGGGTGAAGTGAGTGGCAAGGGAGCAGGAAGATATTATGTCCCAGACGCAGGATGGAGCAAGTGTTGGGGAGATGTGAAAACAAGCAGTTCACACTGGATTTCGAAATGGATGTGATGGAGGATGGGCACGATGGTCGCATTTACTGGAACAAAGAGCAGTCTAGCCTTGGCAGCGTGGACACCTGTAGTGAAATCTTGGCTCCCGTGGAGTCATTAGTGAAATGCCCATTGACTTCAGTGGGGCCAGGATTTCACTCTTACACTTTTAAGAGCAGGGATTTAGAAAGCTCATGAAGGAGGGAGTTACGTTCTCTTGCTGACAGTTAAAAATCCTTATTGTTAGAAAATGGACCTCAGTTTCATTTGTTCCAGAATTAATATGGGATTTCCTGCCTGGGGAGCAAGTTTTAGGTCTGAGTTTAGAATGATAAGAAGTCAGATAAGGGACAAAGTATCATTTGTTCCAAAGGACGCCTTCACTGTTTGAAGCATTCATTAGAAGGAAGTTACCGTACAGCCAGGACTCTACATTCCATTTTATTGAAAAAGGACTATACAAGTGCAGTATAAGAGAGGCCAAGTTCAGCTAGGAAATGTTTTCAAAGAATCCTGTGTAAACTAAAATCTCAGTGTTTCAAATTTGGATTGTTTTGAGCTATAACGGTGAGTATAAGGCAGGGGTCTTAAACACGCGGCCCAGGGGCCGCATGCGGCCCGCGGGGTTATTTTCTGCGGCTCGCGAGCTCCTCGCGGCCCCCCCGCTGTCCCTCAGCGTTTACCTAGAGCAGCTCTGGCCCGACGCGCACTGGTGGCAGGGCAGGCTGCCTGCCTGCCCGCCCTGCCCCCACTCCAGGAAGCCGACGGAACCTGGGGAAGGAGGGGCGCAGGGGTGTGTGTGGCTGTTGCTTCAGACACCGCCCCCAGCAGCTCCCATTGGCCGCGGTTCCCCATTCACGGCCAATGGGAGCTGCTGGAGGCGGTGCCTGAAGCAACAGCCACACACACCCCAGCGCCCCTCCTTCCCCAGGTTCCGTTGGCTTCCTGGAGCGGCGTGGGGGCAGAGCAGGCAGGCAGGGAACCTGCCCTGCCCCCAGTGCGCATCGGGCCAGAGCCCACCCCCTGAACCCCTCCTGCAGCTGAACCCCCTGCCCTGAGCCCCCTGCTGCACCCCGACCCCCTGCCGCACCCCGTACCCCTTCTGCACCCCGACCCACTGCCCTGAACCCCCCGCTGCACCCCGCACCCCTCCTGCACCCAACCCCCTGCCCTAAGCCCCCTGCTGCACCCTGACCCCCTGCCGCACCCCTCACCCCTCCTGCACCCTACACCCCAACTCCCTGCCCTGAGCCCCTGCCACACCCCTGGGGGCAGGGAGGGGGCAGAGTTGGGGTGGGGATTTCAGGGAGGGGGTTGGAATGGGGGCAGGGAAGGGATGGGAAGAGGCGGAGCAGGGGCAGGGCCTCATGGAAGGGGTGGAATGGGGGTGGGGCCGAGGGCGGCGTGGGGGAGGTGTGAGTAAATGCGGCCCTCGGGCCAATGTACTAGTCCTCATGTGGCCCTCATGGTCATTTGAGTTTGAGACCCCTGGTATAAGGGCCACTCTTTTATCCATATACTTCTGTTTACAGATGGGTTATCTGAAAAAGAATGGAGATGGATCTTTATTATTCAGTGTGGTTAATTCATCAGATCCAGAAGCAGAAGGTAAGTGTTTAGTTCTTTTAACGATGTATTTCTAATGGTAACTGTGGTGTAACAGGGTAGCTGACCCCTCAAATGAAACAGGGTCCAGCTCTCCTGTTTCAGTCCATTTGGTGCAATGAGAAGGGCGGGGCTGCCTCTGAGAGTTATAAATGAGATACAGCCCAAAGGCCGGGCAGAGTTCAGAATCCAGGGTCCAGAAACAGTGAGAGAGCTCAGAAGAAGAGCAGAGCTGGGTTGAGAGCTTCAGGAAGGGGAAGCTCCAGAAGGAGGGAGCTGTGAGAGTTCACTAGTGAGCAGTGGAGCCAGATCAGGCTGCTGGTGAAAGCAGGAGGCAGGAAGGCATTCGGGGGGGTCGTCTGCTAACTTTCGCTAGAAAGAGTGCTGTGGCCAGAAAGGGCTGAAGGCTGAGACCAACAGAGGGAGATTTAACAGTTGCTTATAGTAGTTTGGCGCGTTACAAAATCTAATATTGACAATACGTTATTGTACATCTTTGTGACACTATAAAGGAGAATGCCATTGTCCGGCAGTGCTGGAAGGAAAGAAGACACTGAATGTGGTTCAATTAGGCTGCAGCTTTATTCCTAAGGGCTGGTCTACACTGGGGGGGGGAATCGATCCAAGATACGCAACTTCAGTTACGCGAATAGCGTAGCTGAAGTCGAAGTATCTTGGATCGAATTACCTGGGGTCCACACGGCGCGGGATCGACGGCCGCGGCTCCCCCGTCGACTGCGCTACTGCCGCTTGCTCTGGTGGAGTTCTGGAGTCGATGGTGAGCGCGTTCGGGGATCGATATATCGCGTCTTAACGAGACGCAATATATCAATCCCGGATAAATCGATTGCTACCCGCCGATATGGCGGGTAGTGAAGATATACCCTAAGTGTCTGGGAGTACCCAGCAGATAGAATTCTATGGTGCAGATAATTCCATAATCATTTACATATACCGAGGGGGCTACTGGCAGGCGACCGGACCCCCTTATTGATCCTGTTCCCCAGCCAACCCACCTTGCCCCACTCCCCAAATGAGGGTTAAGTGAGGGCTATAAAGTAGGGGGTGTCCCTGCCATACCAGTCATAGGAGTCCTGACCGCCCCCCACTGCTTTTTCTACTCTTTTAAAGAATACCTCCTTTAAATCCTTTCCCACTCCATGTTATCTGATCACCATATCCATACCCTATGTAGTACCTGCATTGGACATCTGCCCCAAGCTTACATGATATGTTGTGACATCATCACCAACTAGCATAATGCCCACAGTGGATTATGATGAAACCTGGTATTTTAACTGCTGAGGGCAGGAGGATGAGTGCTGCTCAGCCTGGTCCAAGTAAAAGAGAGGGCTTTTACTGCACAGATGTGGGTATGAATATCCACCCCCCAAGTAACTGGAAGAGATGGGGAGGATGGGTTAGGGTACCCATTCTGATGTGCTATGGAGCTGCTGTAGCTGGTAACTCTGGTAACTCTCTAGTCCTTAAAGGGGCAGCACATCTCTGATGAGTCAGACAAATGGCCCAATCTCTTAATGTGAAGTGAAGTCATTGTAAGTATAATAATGTGTTTTTCATTAAGTATGGAAACAGTGCACATTCAGCATCTCTTGTGCTGACTATTTTAATTAAACAGTTTTTATGCAACTTTAGCATAAAGTCCCCATAATCAGTTACAATTTGTACATTAATTTAGCATTCTTATTTTTTCGTTTTAGCCTTGTTCTCTATAAACATATTACTGTTTACATGATTCATTCTACAGGTTTTTTTTGGAAGCATCCAAACTTGAAGCATGATGTAATACCTTACTGTTACAGCTCTTGTGGGAAGGGGAAGTGTCAAGGTGATACTGTGCACTTAAAATAAAAACAATAAAACAAACCAAACTTCTGGTTGAAAGATTGAAATTTAGCTATATTGAATTGAATGTGTTTGAAAATTAGAACAAGAACTTGGATAGTTGTGGCTGTGCTTCATGCATATCATTTATTTGTTTTACTTTTATTTAGCTTTGTGGCATCTTCCATCATTGTGACAAGTATCCAAATACTCATTAAGATTATTTAATCTTAATTCCATAAGTAGGAAATATGAAATTTATACTAAGGTATTTTGAAAAACCGATTAAATGTATAATATTAATTTTTTATTTAATCAAATTATTATAGAGGAAGAAACTCACCCAGTGGATCTGAGTTCTTTGTCAAGCAAATTATTACCTGGCTTCACTACACTGGGCTTTAAAGACGAACGAAGAAACAAAGGTAAATCTGTAGAAAGAAAATAGCTTAACTTTAGTGTATGTGCTTGATCAAACTATAGAAAGCAAATAATTCCAGATTACTTTGGTCTCCAAATTTCTGGTACAGTTAGCTATTTTTATAAATTATAGTATTTGCATTTGCAACTTAATGCAAATGTTAATTATCAAAACAAAAAGCAAACTTTATGAAAATAACAGTATTAAAATTCTATGTTGATTTCATTATTGTTCAGTTGAATATAACCTCTGCAATAGACATTTTTTTTCTGAAGCTGCATACATTTGGATGCTTTCTTGGGGATAAAAAATGTTTTCTTCAAGTGGTGTCCCTATGGGTGCTCCACTGTAAGTGTGTCTGCATCCCTGCGCTGCTGATCGGAGAACTTCAGTAGCACAGAGTATATCCCCGCAATCATGTCATACCCCTTCACTATCAAGTGAGGGAATCACTCAGAGACTTTAAGGTCAGAGGGGACCATTATGATCATCTAGTCTGACCTCCTGCACAACGCAGGCCACAGAATCTCACCCACCCACTCCTGTAACAAACCCCTAACCTATGTCTGAGTTATTGAAGATCAGATAATGAGCTAGACGGGGTTTAGCAGTACTCCTCCCGAGCTCCATATGGGACCCACGATCAACAGTGTCCGGAAATGTACCAGCAGGTAGCACCACCACTATCTTGGTATGGCCACCCATGTGCACCTCCACCAGGCCATATGCCGCCATACTGGGACCCCTGGGTGGCACAAAAACAGCCTGCCTCGCAAGCGTCAAGCATCGCCTGACAACCCTCCAGGCACACTCCCTCATCCGCAGCATCGAGTGCCTCGAGAAACTGAGGAGCAAGAAGAGGACACAGAGGATGAGATAACACTTGAAGCCGTATCTTCCTCTTCCTCTTCCCCAGATGAAGAGGTCATGCTTTCACCACCATCCATGGCAGATGATTTCTGCCTGTTTAAGGAGCTGGTGAAAAGAGTAGTGGATACCCTCCACATGCCATTGGAGGAAGTCAGGTCAAAGACATGCACCACCAGCTCATCGACATCCTCCACTCTTAGTCGTACTTGAAAATTGCCCTCCCAATCAACGAAGCGATCTTAGACCCGGCTAAAACGATGTGGCAAACACCAGCATCGGTAGCCCCAATGTGCAAGAGGGTAGACAAGAAATATTATGTCCCCACAAAGGAATCAGAGTTCTTTTTCTCCTACCCACCATCCAATTGCATCGTGGTGGATGCTCTAAACTCTCGTGGCCGACAACATCATTCCAGGGCAACACCCTATGACAGAGACTGGAAGTGCCTCGATCTCTTTGATAGGAAGCCATATTCCTCGTCCGCCTTACAATTTCGTATTGCCAGTTACCAGACACTCAGGACAAAATACGACTACACGGATTACAATAAGTTACATGACTTTATTGACAAGTTGTTGGAGAGTTCTCAGGAATCCTTTTAAGGCCATCATTCAGGAGGGACAGCTGGTGACAAAAACATAGTTGCAGTCGGCTCTTGACGCCACCAGCACGGCTGCCAGATCCATCTCCATAGCTGTGGTGATGAGACTGGTGTCATGGTTCCACCTGTCGGGATTCCCAAAGGAGGTGTGGACTATAGTGGAGGACATCCCCTTTGAGGGTGTGAAACTCTTCGCTGAGAAGACTGACTCCTTTCTTCACATCTTGAAGGATTCCAGAGCCACCCTCAGGTCACTGGGAAACTACATACCGGGGGGGAAAGAGATGTTTTAGCCCCCAATCCCAGCACAGGCCCTATTTGTCTCAATTCCCATCACAGCGCCACAATGAGCCCCAAAGGAAAAAGGGAAAATTTACTAAATGTGTAAACCTGCTCGTTCTCAATCTTCATCCCAACCTTCTGCCCCTAAACACCACTTTTGACAGGCAGATTGTGGTGCTGCAACACCACTCCACACTGTCTGTGACCATGCACCCATTTGGCAGCGTTCCGCAGTGCCTGTGAGCACACATTAGACAGATGGATCCTAGAGATTATCCTATCCAGATACTCCATCCACTTCACCTTTCTACCCCCTCCACAATACCCTTCCCTGTCCCTCTTCAGGGACCCTTCTCACGAGAGTCTACTATGTCAGGAAATAGATTGACTCCTGCAGTTAGGAGTTATATAACCAATACCTCAATATCTACGAGGCACGGGGTTCTTCTCTTGTTACTTACTAATACCCAAAAGGAAGGGAGGTTGGAGACCTATTCTGGACCTCAGAGCTCTAAACAAGTTTGTCAAGACTCAGAAATTCAAGATTGTCACTTTATTGCCGATCATTCCATCATTGGAACAGAGAGACTGGTTTTTGGCCCTTGACCTACAGGACACCTACTTTCATATTTCAATGCTACCGGCTCTCAGATGATTTCTCAGATTTACTCTGGGACATGACCATTACAGAGTCCTCCCCTTTGGACTTTCATCAACCCCAGAGTATTTTCCAAAGTTCTCTGTGTGGTAGCTACTCATCAACACTCACAAGGGATAATGATCTACTCTGACCTGGACAATTGTCTCCTCCGAGCCCCGTCGCTCCAGGAGGCTCATCGAGCCACTGATGCCACAATAAACTGGTTCACAAAACTGGGCCTTCAAATCAACACCCAAAAGTCAACCCTCAAGGCCAACCTAGACACACTACAGGCCAAAACCTTCCTACTTCAAGACAGGTTCCTATCCTGGTCTCCCTCATAGCTCAATGCAGTCCTCAAATACCATCCAGACTCTTGTCTCCAACTCCTTTGGCATATGGCGGCAAGCATAGCTGTGATACCACACACCAGACTCCATATGCGGTGCACAGAACTATAGTTCAGTTTGTTTTACAGACCGAAAAGAGACAGTCTGGACAACCCCCTGTCACTATCTACCAGGATCAAAAACTTCCTGGACCAGTGGAAGAACCCAGCCAATGCTTACAAAGGGGATTCCCTTCTCGCAGGCATCCCCATCATTGCTCCTTACCACTGATGCATCGATCATAGAATGGGGCACGCATTTAAACAGCCTCACGATGCAAGGCAGATGGTCACCTGCAGAGAGAGATCCCTACACATCCACCACCTCGAGTTGAGAGCGGTCTGGAATGCCAGTGCCCATTTCCTTCCACGGATAGCAGGATCACATATGAAAATCCTAACAGACAACATAGCCTATATGTATTACATCAACTGCCAGGGAGGGACCAGGTCGCCCTCTCTATGCACAGAAGCAATGAAGCTATGGAACTGGTGCATCTCTCATAACGTCACCTTGTCCACAGCTTACCTCCTAGGTATGCAGAACAAGATGGGACAGCACTCTCTGGGCCATGCACTCCTTTTCCCCTGGGACCAGGCCCCTTTTTTTTTTTTTTTTTTTTTTTTTTTTACACCTTTCCTCTGTTTCCTCTTCTGCTGAAGGTCCTGCTAAAGGTAAAGAGGGACAGAGCTCACATAATCCTGATTGCTCTTACTTGGCCAAGACAGACCTGGTACCCTTACCTGATGCTGCTCGCGATGTGCCCATTGATCTCCCTTCTGACCACTCCTCACCTCCTCTCACAGGACAAAGGGCAAACCATACATCCCAACTTGGGGGTTCTCTGCATCAAAACATGGCTCCCACGTGGTTCCGGCACCTAGAAAGCTCATGCTCAAGGGAAGTACAAGAAGTTCTATTACACAGCATTCTTCCCAGACAAGATTACATTCAGACTGCATCCGAAGTTCATTCTTAAGGTAATCTCCTCTTTTCATATGAATCAGTCAATCTACTTTCCTATCTTCTACTCCAAGCCTCACCAAGACAAGAGGGAGGCCATGCTGCATACCTTAGGGATCTCCTAACATCTAGCATTCCACTCGATAGGACAAGAGCCTTCAGGGAGTCCTCTAGACTGTTCCTCTCTATGGCAGAAAGATCTAAGGTCTCAGCAATATCAGCCCAAAGACTCTCCAAGTGGGTCTCAAATTCAATTAGTGCTACCAAATTCATAACATGACCCCTCCAGACTTGATACGTACATGTTCCACAAGATTGATCTCCTCATCATTCCTTAAGGATGTCCCTATCTGAGAGATCTGCAGAGCGGCAAAATGAATGTCAGTCCACACCTTCGCAGAACGCTATGTGATCACTGCGGACTCTGCCTCTGATGCCATCTTCAGCTCCACAGTGCTGTCATCTGTAACCGACCCAACTCTGAAGTCCCAGCCCTCCAGAACTACTGCTCGGGAGTCACCTATGGTGGAGCATCCATAGGGACCCTACTCGAAGAAGAAGTTGTTACTCACTTTGTGCAGTAATGATGATGCTTTGAGACGTGTCCCTATGGGTGCTCCACAATCTGCTTTCCTCCCCTCTGTTTCTGAGTTCTCATTTATGACTCGGCAGTAGAGAAAGAACTGAGGATGGTTAGCCCGCATGCCGGCTAGTTTCGTGGCAAGGCACAAGGAGAGACAGTGCATGCATGAGCCCAACAAACACTGCTACCAAAGTTCTCCAATCAGCAGTGCAGGGACGCAGACACACCTACAGCGGAGCATCCATAGGGACACAAATCTCGAAGAACCATCATTACTGCACCAAGTGAATGACTTCTTCTTTCTGATGATTTGGCAATTAGCATTGCTTGGATAAAATGTACTGATGCTGAAAAAATGTGTACTGGTCTGCCAAAATGTTTAGCCCCAGCAGGTCATAGGAGATTGGATTTAACATGTAAGCGTCACTTTATTAAATCTGTAATGAAGTGGGGGTGGTTCATTGTTTGTTGTTTAAGTTAATTTTGTAAAACTTGTCAATAGTTTTCAGTCTGCCATGATTTGGCAACTAACACCTCATAATATTTTGTTTTCTTGCTGAAGTCTGGAATTGAAGTTGTGGTTGTCAAATAAAAATGCTGGTTTCAGCTAAATCATATTGGAATTAAATTAGCAAAAGAAAGCAAGGTGGTCAACAGAATGTGATTTTTAGGTGGTATATTTTATGACTGGCCAGTCCTAAATATAAATGTTTTAGCCCTGTGGATAGCAATAAATGTCTTGCTTTCTAGTGGCATAATCGTGATTTTTCCCAGTGGTTCATAAAAATCAAACTTTAAAATAGCCTCACTGGTTCTGTGGTCTTGCAATGCCCTTTTGGCATTGGTCTAGGTCAGGACTTGATATAAAAGAACTGGACCTTGGACCAGTGTAGCGTTCTATACCTTCTTCAGGAAGGAAACAGGACTTATTTTCTTTCCAGATGAGCTTTTTACACTCAAGATAACTTTTTATCTTTTTCTCCTTTTTTTCATTCTAGTCACATTTCTTACAAGTGCTAGTACAGCACTTTCAATGCAAAACAACTCTATCTTTCATGATCTGAAATCAGATGAAATGGAACTGCTATATTCAGCATATGGTGATGAAACTGGGATACAATGTGCCTTAAGGTAAGCATTTGTTTAACAGGGAAATCTAAGCCTGCCTTATTTCCTTTGTGAAAAGAGATTTTTCCTTAGATTAACAGAGATAATATTCCATATTGCTTTTTCACAGCAAATTACAGAGCGGCAATGCAGACTAATGGGCCAAGCATAGAAGAAGTAGGAGCCCAGAACTCCTGGATTTCTAATAACTGCTCTAAAACTGGCTTACTCTGCAACTTTGAGCAAACCTCTCTGTCTAAATTTTCCCAAGTTTAAAGTGGTGATATTATTTATTAACCTACATTACAAGGCTGTTACAAGGCCTGCTTACTTAAGGGTTGACCACACTTTGAAGTTGTAAAGTGATAAAGATTGTTAAAGTTTGCTAGTTTGGGTGCTGAAATAAAAGGCTTTACAGGGTCAAACTGGCAGGTTTTTCTGTGACAGAAATGATGGGGTCTAGAAATTATTTTTCAGTGAACAAATATTTCAAGTTCTAACAACAGTTTGTACTAAAGGTTGGTAAATCCTGTGTAGCTGGGGAGAAGCGTCTAACATCCAGAGATCAGGGCAAAATTTCTGAGCCCAGGGTGTGAATAATGCCTGGCATATCTATTCTGTGGTAGTACATGTGATCTTGCAAAGTAATGGTATAATTCATTAAATAAATATCACTGTTCTTTCTTTCTTCTATTCTTAGAAAAGTACATAGAAAAAAATATAGAAAATATGTTCCGAGTCAGTTTTGCATATTTCTTTAATGAAGCCAAATGTAAAATATTTAGATCATGCATGTTACTTTCAGACCTGTTCAGGTTTCTGATGCTGTTACAGTAAACTATAATTTTTTTTTATCTTTGATAAACTCTTATTTCAAGTTTGTATGGTCTGCGTGGGAAGCAGTGGCAAAGCCATTACTTTCTGGAGAGGGAAACTGCTACTTTCCATTAAATTGTCAATCCTTTTAAAAGCCACAAGCTTCAGCTTAGTAAATGCAACCGTTCTGAGTTTCTGATTAAATATTCCTTATCTTCATTTCCTCTAGCTTACAGGAATTTGTGAAAGATTCTGGAAGTTACAGTAAGAAAATAGTGGATGATCTTTTGGATCAGATTACTGGTGGTGATCATTCCAAAACCATTTATCAGCTAAAGCAGGTGGGTCCCAGTTATGCAGAAGTGAAGTTAATCAAACAGTTTAAGCAGCATATAAGGATGGTCCTATTCTCATCCCTAAGCATTCACTTCTAAGTATCATTAAAAGGTTTCTAATTTATCAGGAAATGTTTTAGCTGTTTTAAACACATATTTTGTGGGAAAATTAGTTATTCATAATATTAAAACAGTATAAGGAACTATTTGGAAAACAAATTACCATGTTAATGCTGGACTCTGTATTACCAGGGTTACTAACAATGTCCGTTTTTAAGCAACATGAAATGTCTAAAGAAATTTCAGCTGTCTTCCAAATGCACCATATTTGGAGATCACTTCTTCCTTTGTGTGCATATAGCATTAATAGGAAGTAACAGTCACACAGCCATGAGAAAACAGTCTAACAAGGAATTGCAAAATGGTTTCCTGTTATCTACACTCTAAATACCACTCTGCTTCCAAGAATTGCCCATATGGATGCAGTGTTCTAAGAGAGACACACCTTTAGTGTGTAAGCATAGATGTTTCCAGCAAGCAGCATTTATTGAAATCCTCCTCTCTCCTACTCCTAGCACAGGATCTGAGGTTATTGACCAAACGAAGTGAGCACTTTTTTATTAGTCTGTAAAGTGCTAACTTTTGAACACAGCATCTAATCAATTCCAAAATTTCACACAACATTCTGGGTGTCAGTGGGCAGAACCCTGTTGATTTTGGTGAAAACCAGAACAGGGAAATGGGGGATCATACAGAGCCCCTGGGAAGGGGATAGAAAAATGGGGGACCCTGGCATGGGGGGCGCACAGAGCATCCTGGCATGGGGGGGGGGGGGGGCAGGGAGACAGAGTCCCTGAAATAGAGGGAGGTGGAAAGGTAGCATACAGGGAGCTTTTTTGCAGGGTGGGGCGGGGGGAATGGAGGAATGTAAGGAGCCCCTAGTATGTGCAATGAGTTTGGCCTACAGAAGTAATAAAGTGTGAGACCCTCTACTAAAAAGGGGGTGTGGCTTCAAATACCCTTCAGTTCCTGCCTGGCCACAGAAAAAACAGTGCCGTGTTTTCAGTGCTTCCCTGGACATTTCTTCTTTTTTCTCTCTGTCTCTCTCTCTCTCTCTCTCTCTCTCTCTCTCTCTCTTCCCACCCCACCTCCACCCCCTTTTGTGCTCATTTAGGCATTGTTTTTCTCTATAGTTACTATATTGTACTCCTGGGGGAATTCTGTGCCAAAAAATAAAAATTATGTACACAGTATTTTAAAATTCTGCATATTTTATTTGTCAAAATAACACTAAATAATCCCATCAGTTTCAATCAGGGTGGATTTGATTTAAATCACTAGTCAGGAAGACTCGATTTAATCATGGATTTCTACGTAAAAGTGCATTCTTGTTGGTTGTTATAACCAGGGCCAGGGCCAGCTCCAGGCACCAGCGCAGGAAGCAAGTGCTTGGGGCGGCCAATGGAAAGGGGTGGCACGTCCGGGTCTTCAGCGGCAATTCAGCGGCGGGTCCCTCAGTCCCTCTCGGAGGGAAGGACCGGCCGCCAAATTGCCGCCGAAGAATGAAGCGGCGTGGTGGAGCAGCCGCCAATCGCGGCCTTTTTTTTTTTTCCCCCCCTTCGCCGCTTGGGGCGGCAAA